ATCACCTACCAACGGGGATCGGGGTTAGGGCTGGCCGTGTACGTAGACGCTAGCTACGCCGACACGGAGGATAGGCGTTCGGTGTCAGGGTTGGCGACGACGGTCGGAGGTACCGTAGTCAGCCATGGTAGCAAGACGCAGAGCATGGTGTCTTTGTCTTCGACGGAAGCTGAGTACATTGCTGCCGGGGAGGGTGTCAAGGAGGCGTTGTTTGTGCGTGCTGTGCTTTCGTTTGTCGCCCCAGAGACCAGTGGTAGCAGCATCAAGGTCCTTGAGGACAACCAGGGGGCCATAGCGTTGGTGCAGAACCCCCTCAGCTCAGGTCGCACGAAACACATCGACGTGAGGTATCATTTCATCCGAGGATTGTTTAGGTCGGGGGATATTTCGGTCAAGTTTGTTCCGACAACGGAGCAACACGCGGACCTCCTTACCAAGGCCCTTAGCAGGGTCAGTCTGCAGTATCACCGGCGCAAGCTGATGAATTTGCCGGAGTAGCTGTAGCCATGTTTTTCATGCGGGGAAAGGCGCATAACTGTTGCGGTCTGTGTACCAACGGCAGGAGTAGGGGCGTANTCGGGGGATATTTCGGTCAAGTTTGTCCCGACAACGGAGCAACACGCGGAACTCCTCACCAAGGCCCTTAGTAGGGCCAGTCTGCAGTATCACCGGCGCAAGCTGATGAATTTGCCGGAGTAGCTGTAGCCATGTTTTTCATGCGGGGAAAGGCGCATAACTGTTGCGGTCTGTGTACCAACGGCAGGAGTAGGGGCGTAGGGAGACCATAGTCCGGGGGAACGTAGTTCCTCGCGTTCTTGTCTTCGCCTTGGCCTTTCTAATAAGTGCGGCCGTTGTGATCCGCTGTGATAGCGACGTTGTTTTTGTGGTGTTAGGGTTTTTCCTTGAGGGGTTTTGCCCGGACGCCGGGTTTCCCCTCCATATGTTACCATGTTGGTATTTTCTGATGTATCCTGGGGCGTTCTTGCCCAATTGATGGTTAGTCACTTGCGTGAAGAACCAGGGAGGGTGTTCGTGGGTCTGCGAACATTGTTGTTGGATACATGTGCTGGATGATTTTGTGTTACGCAGACTGGTAAGATTACTGTTTGGTAGGGGGCACCGCGATGATTCACGGGGCCCCTCCTTGCTGTGGGAGCCGCTCTTTGAGCACTCCCTCTTTCGTCCGTGTGAAGGACGGTCGTCGACCTCTCGTGAAGTCAATACATCACCAAAACAGTCTCATCCGAAAAATAAGTGGCGTAGGCCGCAAATAACCCTTGCTTGTCTATGCTGATGGCAATTCGTTGTCGTAGTTCTTCTTACTTGAGAGCAGGAGCGAAAGAGGCCCCCGCTTCAATTGCTTGAGTTTGGAGGCACGTCGTTTTGTTGATATTTGACGTGCTTGGTGCGACACAGGGAGGACCTCGCGAGTCACGTGCTCCCAGTGGCCGAGTGCCTACTTGCGTACGTCGACGGCTAGCAGCATCATCCTCTCTCTCCACTCCCTTCCACCGTTGGCCGGTTCAGTGTCGATTCGTACTTGTTTGTCTTGTACCTTTGATCGGTATGTGTGCGAAGTGCCGCATCCACCATCGCCGACGCAGCCGCCGCCGCCGCCGCAGCAGCAGCAGCAGCGGTAGCAGCAGTAGCAGTGTTTACGAAAGAGTTAGAGTTGCCGCCTGGTTTAACGTACGTATGTACAGTGGACTATTGCTGCGGCGGCTGCTGCTGCAATAGCAGTGTTTACGAAAGAGGTGAGTTGTCGCCTAGTTTAACGTATGTACAGTGGACTATAGTCTATGTTGCTGTTGCATCTGGTGCACATTCGACATTTGTATGTTTTGAGCCGGTCTAACCCTTCGTGTAATTCTTTAGCATCCACGCGACGGCGGGTGCCTGAGGTACCATCACCGGCACAGTAGAGGCGGACCGAGTGGCGCGATATGTGCCGGATTGACCCCCTCCACTGACTAATGCCCTCCCCCACCCCACCCGGTGTTTACCATCGGGGTTGGGTTTTCGTCGATTGGCAACGACGTTGTAAAACAAGCCCCACCTCGGCGTTTGCCATCGGGATTGGGTTTTCGTCGCTTGGCAACGACGTTGTAATACAAGCCATTTCACTTCGTGAACTCGGCAACCAGATTACCGTTTTTTTTACCTCTATCTTTTTTTTGGTGGTAACCATAACGGTGGTCGAGTAGATCATGTTGTGCGGGGTGGAGAACCCTCGCTCCGCGCAAGGGGGATGA